ATCATGTTTGTGTTACGATCAATATTCAGTTCTCGAGGATGTTATCCATATCACTCAAGTGCAGCCAGCAAAACTGCCCTCCCCCACATATTTGGTCCAAGAAGATGAAGTAAATATAGTCTTATTGGACTTGCTTTATTTATATGTAATTGAGTTTAAACCATTTTGAATATTAATTTACAGTCTATCAGCTCAAATGGTAGAGCGATGTGTTCAAAAACACATAAATGTGGGTTCGAATCCCACATAGGCTACATAAAGTATTTTTTGGAAGTTGAGATGGATAAAATATAGATATGTTCATATAGATATGTTCTATTTGGTTATTCATGTGCTGGGGACTGTTTTGCATTTGTAAGTTGGGAAAATAGACCGGCCGATCCAAACTATGCATCATCATCCTCTGTTCTTTCTACCACTACCACCTTTTCTGCCCTCATACTTAAATATAAGCACACCTGAGAAAACCACTGCTATAAAAATCCAAAGGAAGCATAAACCCACCCTCCAGTTCATCCAGTAACTTGTTCTGGTTGTATCTTCCACCATCCCTCCCGGCTGCCATGTCACCTTTCTTGACCCTTCTGTGGAAAGACTCGTCTTTTTCTTCTTTTCTTTATAAAAGGTGCAAGCAAATCATGCAAGGAGGAGTCTAGGACTGTAAAGTTCACACACAATCAAGTTGGGCATTAATGGAGGAGAACCTGCAAGCTAAGTGTTATATATACACAGAAACTCGAATGACTGCAAGCTGTTTATTGAAATGGGTCAATGAAATTCCCGAAAATCACGCGAAGCAGAAAGTTTGGGGATGAATTTGAACAATAGAGTTATGTATTTGGAAGATTATGAGTTCTTGGGTTGGATCTGTCAGAGAGGGGAAAGGGGGATTGGGAAATTATTAATTGCAAGCAAAGAAAAGGTGGGATACCCACTGGGTAAAGCAAGGCAAATGTGCAAGGGGAGGTAGATGCTTTGCTTCTTTTTAGTGCAGAACCAGAACATTACAACTAAATTGAATATGTAATAACTCATGTATTCTCAAGCTAAAGCTACTACAAGCTACCCACTCCCCGCCATTCTCCAGCCATTAAACTCATCAAGATTGAGCCATTATGAACTCCCGAAGAAGTTTCTTATAGAAGCCAGAACATCAATGGTATAGTTGGAAGCAGAATCATCAAATTTTAAAATGTCAACAATATCAGTAATGCTACATCCGTCTTCATAATCTTCTAGCTATGGAATCAACATATCCTGTGAAATGAATGAAATGACACAAAAAATAGTCAGTCATTTTCATTCATTTTCATTTACCCGGTGCCGCAAAGGCTCCCACCTACGATGGGGTAAGGGGGTCGGATGTACGCAATCTTACCCATGTACTAAAGCACAGAGAGACTATTTCCGGAACAAAAAATAGTCAGTATGTAACATAATAAAATTGCAGCATTTACATAATATTTTTTTTAGTTTACCACTTTTAACCTTAAAATTAGATAAATAAATGGCCTACAAGACTAATACGTAAACCAGCTAGAGAAACTATCACACAAACCCAAATGAATCCAAGAAAACAGAATCAATAAATTTCTCCTAGAAACTACCAATCTTTGGTTTGAGACAAAGCCAGTAAAGAATCATCCTAATCCAAGCAATTGCAAATTTAAACACAGTTAAAATCCCTTAAAAAAGAACAAAATTCTAATAAATAGGCAACAATCACCAAACAAATATCCTGGTAAAAGTAAATACACGCAGTGTAATAGTCTATATTCATAGAACAAGAATCAAATTTAAGATTCAAATCAATCACCGATGCTCCTTCCAACAAAAACAAAAAGAAAATAGCACTTTTAAGTTTCAAGTTCTAACAAATCATCTATATTCCTCATTGCAGCTGCAAAGAAAGAAGAATGAACATTAAGAAATTGGCTCTTGGTAAAAAGAATTATTGGCAACCGGAAGAATGTAAGAAAATTGATGCATCTCCAATCCCAACACAATACGTTTTAGGCATCTACAACACAAAATCATACTTTGTATACAAATTATCTCAACTACTTCAATCCATTCACTATCATATGCTTACTCAAAATATTTTTATGACGAATTTGGATAACCTACAACACATACTGCTGTGTTAGTATAGCTTCAAGCAAAAACAAAAGAAAAAGAAAATCCTGCTGTAAAAATAGAATTGTGAGCAAAACCAGAAGCATAAAAATGCGTATTTGAAAGAGAAATCAAAAACTTATTTGGCCAAGTAAGGTCTTAGACCAAGAGCTTGTAAGAAAATTCTAGTACATGTTTATCAAGGAAATCCCTAAATTAGATTTGATGAATAAACCAAGTACATTCCGAATTTGTTAGAATTTGCTCAAGCGAAACTTTCAAATGCACGAAAATTTCAATTGATTGGGCGGCTATGTTCCTCTTCCGCGATTATGCTCCTGCAGCTAGGTTTCCTTCGCTCCCTGGACTGAAGGCGCCGTTGCCGCTAATCTCAACTGAAGCGGCGAAGTTACTCGAGCTCTTCCGCGATGATGTCTCGTCAGTCGCGAAGAGCCATCCTGTGGGTGCAGTGGATAGTAGGCAACCCAGAAGGACTGGTTTTGGTAGAGAGCAGGAAACGGTGAGAAAACCTCCGTTAATGTTTTGCATTCCCGTCTCACAACGACAAGGACTGAAGTGCAAAATCTTTTTTCTTGAATTGAAGTTGAGTCACTTTATTGCTTATCCACGTGTGAATTTTTTATTTGGCCACATAACCAGGGTACAGTACCCTAAAATTCAATATGGGCACCGTAGCAACCACCATATTTTTTATAGACTAAAAATATTGATACTCCCTCCGTCCCAAAAAATTGTTCCCGCATTAACTTGGAACGAAGTTTAAGAAAGTGGGAATAAAGTGGATATGTATGGTTATGTTTGAGTAAGAAAAAAGTAAATGAATTGTAGCCACAAAAAACTATCCAAAAGGAGAAAGTGGAACAATTTTTTGGGACGGCCCAAAAAGGAAACCGGTAACAATTTTTGGGACGGAGGGAGTACATTATTATACATATGAACATAATTGGAAATTTTTCATGGAGGTTGTGCCCCTATTGTTTAGTCCTTCCACCTCTTGTGAGTTCATGATGTGCTTTACTAATTACTACGGAGTACATGAACTTCCCAGCTGTATTATGTTGCCCCTAAAAAACTGCATCTGATGTACGTATTTGATGGACGTGTTGAAATCTATTCAGTTCTCCAAATGTGGTATATGGTGTGTGAAATCATTATTTTTTTATACCAATACTAGCAATGATTAGTCCCATTATTTTAGTCTTGATTCTTGAAGATGTAGGGAGTGTTTGTAATTACTTCAACTTAAAAAAATGATTTTTTAAAGTTATTTTGGAAAAAGTGATTAATAGTAAAAGTTGGTAGTGTTTGAGAAAAAATTGATTCTAAAAAAGTAAAAGTTGGTAGTGTTTGGTAAAATAAATGTTTTTTGTGTAATAGAAAAAGTGAAAAACAGTTTAAAGCACCCTTCTACCTGCTTTTAGCTTTTAAGTGATTAATTTAAGAATAAGCTGTCATTTGAAAACACTCTTTTCAATTTTTTTTTAAGCTGAAAAGCACTTTTTTTAAGCAAACCGAAACACTCCTGTAGTCGTGGGGTAACAAATAAACATATTCACGGACATTAAAGATTTTTTCATTGGAGTACTATATTTGGTGGAAAATTTGACTCCGGGGAACAAAATAGAGCGTGTTTGGTAATGTTGAAGTTGGTTGAATCTGCTGAAATTGATGAAATGTTGGCTAAAAATGTTGGCATGGATTATGAAAAAAATAAAAAATAAGGAACTCTCACAATAATAAAACTGATAAGCTGAAAATAAGAGTTATAAAACCTACTTTTAACACGAACAAATTTTATTAGTGATGCCCAATGTAATTATGAAATGTACTTTCCTAAGGAAAGTACGTACACTAGTCTTTACTTAATACTTACCAAACAAGACTAATAATTAATACAACCAAAAGTTACAAGCAAACTTTTCACCAGAAATTTTTCCATTTTGTTTTAATTTTTGTTGCCTAGTCGCCAGATTTCCCTTGATGGTTACCATTAGGGCAACCCAAGAATAACCTGAACCCGCATAATCCGTCCAATCTAATCCTACCCGACCCTATTTAATCGAGTATTGATTTTAAAAAATATTCATGGGTTAAATATGTTTGAACTCGCACCTATTGGTTGGGGTTGCAAAATTAAAATCTCAAACCCGATAGCAGCCGACCCGGCCGAAAGTTCATTTTACTATTATTATGCTACAATGTTTTTTCGGATAATTTTAATTTAAGACCAATGTGCTCTATCAAGGACTTTATGATATTAGATTTTTAATTAAACATTACCATTATATATTTATGTTTCCTTTAAATGAACTTCCTTTACGAAATGATATTTTTTCTTATAAAAGATATGAGTACTTGTATTTTTTTTGTGTGTTTTTGGAAACAAGTTAATCGAGTTTCAAATTGGTTACATTAATTTCTCACATGAAAGATGCAACCCGAAGTGATTTTTTTTCAAAACCCGACCCTACCTGATATGTTCATGTATAGTTTACCAACTTATTTTGCGTATCACAGGTTGGTTAATAGCCAACCAAACAAATTGAGTAGGCCTAAAAAATATGCGGAGTATCAAACCTGACCCAACCCGCCCGATGCGTAGCCATAGTAATAATGGCATACTTCTGGACATCAATGACACCACCAACGTTGATACTTGATAGTAACTCTAGTGATGGCCATGGTTACGATGTAACATTGACGCTCACTAACAGTGACATGCTAAATTTGTAGGGACAAAAAAATTTCAATGTTGTTGTGTTTTTAGTCATATTTTTTATCCATGTACAAAAGTAATCACTTTTAGAGAATCAATTGTAATATAATATTCCTTAAAATTTCATTGTTATTGTGTTTTTAGTCATATTTTTTATCCTTGTACAAAAGTAATCACTTTTAGAGAATCAATTGTAATATTGTAATATAATATTCCTTTCATTCTGAAAATATTCGCCAAATTGATTTTTCTTGCTCAATAGAAATTAACTATGACCAATGATATTTTTAATAAGAAATTATTTTAAATATAAAAATTATATCAAAATGTTCCTTATTTAAAATATTTTCATAAAAGTATAAAATTTATAAATGAAATACGAAGTATAAAACAATAATTAAAATTACTGTCCAAAAAATTATCATTAATAAAAAAAAACTCAATATGACAAACATTTTCAAGTAGGAGTAGTAACATTTAAGAAAAAACCAAAAAACCCATAGTCAAGTTGGAGTGGAAGTGGTGTGGAACAAAATGAACGAGCTGGGCGCACCCGACTAGTTAGTAGTGATTAGTGACTAGATAATGAACAAGCCAAAAAGGAGCCATTAATGGATCGTCCTGTATGTTTTGGCTCGAGTCCAAATTCCCAAGCAGGTCATTTTCTTATAATAACAAAAGAAATTTATTGATTTAAACCCTAAAAGATGAGTTTACTATCAATTTTGGACCTAAAAGATAATTCCTCTCATTTAGGGAACTAAAAGATGATAATCTATCATTACAAGACCCAAAGAATTAACACCGTTAATCCCCTTTTAACGGAATATGACATGGCCGCCACGTAGGGTAAATAATTAAATTAAATCAAATAATAATCAATGCAGTGTAGATTTAATTACAAAATACACGTAGTAGATACCCTGTAGGGTTACAGCCGCAGCCGCTTAATCAAGAGAAAGTCGATGTTTTCCTCCTCATACACAAGATTTTTTTCATCAGCTATTTTTCTGAATCCTTACCATCATCAGTAAGCTATGTCTCTGAATCCTTACCATCATCAGTAACTCTCATCTGGGTCGTTTTGCTTTTAACAAGTTTTCTCAGAACTCTGCAAATTTCATCTTGTCAAAAGGTTTGAACTATAATAGATCATTATGTATTTTTTTTTACAGTTACTCTCTTCTCCATTGTGTCCTAATGCTAGATTAGCGTAAAATTATATGCTATATAGTTAGTTCAATCTCATTGATATGGAACTAAACAATAAGGAGTAGTAAATAAATCATAACAACACCAAAATTAAAACGAGTAAATCATTATCTTCACCTTAAGAGGCTGAAATTATTTTGCATAACTAATTGAATGTAATTTCTAAACGATATTATACATCTTATATATGAGATGAGGAGGTGCGGCTGGGAGTGGAAGAGATTTGTTGAAATTTCTGGAGCTAAAGATGAGGATAAGATAGAAGTCTGTGAAGTTTGTGAAGGAAGGTGAAAAGAACGAAGAGAGAGTAGTAGGAAATCCAAATAAAATAAATTTAAACAGGAGAAAGAATTAGGTTGCTAGGACTTTTGATCTGCGTGGCGGCCATGCCATATCCCGTTAAAAATAGTTAACGGTGTTAAATACTTGAGTCTTATATTGATAGATTATCATCTTTAGGGTCCCTTAATAAGAGCCATCATCTTTTAGGCCCAGAATTGATAGTAAACTCAATTTTCACGTCTTAATTTGATAAATTTCCTAACAAAAAACAATGATTAGTGGCAATTGGCAAATGAACACCCTACCCACAGAATTGCCTGTGTAGTTTATCGCCACGTTTTAATCGGAAGAAAACAAATTGTGTGGAACAAAGCTCAACATCACCTCCCTCTCACGGCCTTACCACCAGCTAAAAAACATCTATCGTAGACAAAGACCAAGCATGATGCTTCGTCGGACACTAGGATGAAATTTAAGTTTCCCACAGCTCAAATAAAAACAAAAGCAAACTGAGAACCCGAAAAGAAGAGAAAAGACGATATTTTGTGATTGTTCCGTAACAACTTTCCTAATAGGGAACCTTCTAATTACACATAAATATTGACAGGGGTGGATATATGGTCCAGCACTTGAACCGCGGCTCGCACATTTTCGGATCGAAATCCGCAGGTCCGCAAATTATAGTTTCGGGAATGGACCCAGATCCCGGCTATAAAGATTTCATTTTTAATAGGTTTACATTTTGTAGAATTAAAAATTCGTTTGATTACACTGAATTGGCTAAATATTGTGAATCGTGAGAACATTATTATATTTAAAATGATGAAATAAAGGGAAAAAAGTGAAAAACATATTCTCTCCTTATTTAGTTGTTCTCTACATTAAGTTTGGGCACAAAGTTTTAGGATAAAGTAGTAGGAGTAATGAATAATGTAGAAAAAGTAGAAGAGAGTGTGTCAAAGTATGAAAGAGAAAATAAAACGTGAAAAAAGTAAGAATAGTTGAGTATTTTTAAAGAAAAAAACTTACCAAAAGGGGAAAGTGTAATAAACTTTTAAATACATTCCAAAAAGGAAAGTGTAGCAAACTTTAAAGTACAGAGGGAGTAACTAAAATGCTTATTTAAAATTATTTGAGTCAAACTAATTCTGACTATGATAAAATTTATAATATAAAATCAAAATTTACATATTTGGTACAAAAAATTGGCTGACCTCAATAACTTTTGGGACTAAGGCTTAAATGATGTTGTTGTGGTACAAAAAATTGGCCAATCTGGTAAAGATACAAAGCGAAAAATAATAGAGGTTATAAAGGACTTCAAGAACTCGTTTGGTGACCATGTTTTACGGCATATCAGTCTTATCTGTCTTATCAATTTTAATAACTAATTTTTCACCAAACACATAACGTTTGATTTGATGCTAAATTATGTAGTAATAAGAAACATAAGATTGAAGTCCATTTTCTAGCTATATTGACTGAACTTACTGTACAAAATCATTTTAGTTATTTTCCTATGTAATTTTTCTTTTATTTTGTTAATAGAATATACTAGTATTTTAAATACGTAGTACTCCCTCCGTTTCTAAAAGAAGGTCACGGTTTGACTTCACGATTATTAAGGAAATAAATTGACTTTACTGTAGAAAACACTGTTTAGACACTTTTTGGCACTGTTTGGACACAGTTTGGCACTGTTTAGCACTGTTTGGCACTGTTTGGATGTAAATTTCTTTGTCAAATAAGGAAATAAGGAAAGTGTGACTTTTATTTTAGCACATCCAAAAAAGGAAAGTGTGAGGTTCTTTTAGAAACGGAGGGAGTATAATATTTTTTTTATAAATCTAAAACTAGCCATCCATTTGGATAACCAAATCACTCAAAAGTTCATACTCGTATATGTCACCAAATTAGCCAATCCAGTCAATTGCAATTCATCCTAATTTGAATCCTTGAAACATTTTAATGGAGGAAATCATGAACGGACACCAGACTGGTCAGACCCTAATAATTACCGTCTATGTATGAAGACTTCAATGCTGAAGATTAGCTGAAGCATAGAGTTACCGTATGGAGAATGGAAGTGAAAGCACATCACAATTGCCTGAAATTATCCACAACTGTAAAAAGGGACGCCTTTCTTTTACTCCGTACTTTACATGGGTAAAAGGCTAAAACCATCACACATAATTGACTACTCACTCCTCACCAGTCTCTCATCCCATTCCAAATCAGGCCTGAGAATCTCTCGGATCAACGAATGATATCGCTAGCAAAATACCATTGACTTAGTCAAAGGCTCGATTCTTCTGGCTGGAAGAAGAAGCAATAATATATTTTCCTAATTATTAATGTTAATCTTATACCCATAATTACTATTACTACAGACTACGCAATTTATTTCTTAATTAACTAACTACTTTGAAACCTCAGAAATCGATAATTAACCCGTTTGGGCTACGGGTCCAATTTCATCACCCGGCAAGTTCACGGGGTTTCCTTGAAATGCTTCGCTCGTTGACCGAGATAAAACGCGCAAATTTGAGTCTGTTTAAAAATATTAGATTCAATTATTTTTAAGCATTACATTAAAAATTAAAAATATAAACTGGAATTTCAGTAAAGTAAATTAACTGAGTTGAGTTACCTCGGGTTGAGTTGAATGACCTTTTGCAGTGTAAAATGGCGCCTTGAATTCCGTCTTCTTGTTGTAAAAGCGAGTCGTCACGCCTCCGCGATGACACTTGACCGGACACAACCGCCGCTGGCGGCGCTGACCGGCTTTTGACTAAATGTTTCCGGACAACTCGCAGCCCCGCCGGTAGGCTCCCCTGCTTCACACTCTTGGCGTTACTCAATACCGACGCGTTCTCAGCTACTTCTACCGCCGGTGCAGTTTCGCCTCTCAGCACCTTCTCCGCCGTAGACTGCGGCGGCGGTGCAACTGGAGCTGCCTTTATTCCTCCTCCGCCGGACAAACTCAGCTGTCCTGAAAACCTCAACTTCTCGCCGTAACGCCTCGAGACACGGACGTACAACGGCTTTACCATTTTCAAGTATTTTTCCATCATCATGTCTTTGGAAAATTTCTTCTCGTCTGGAAATGAGCTAGGGCTCGAACTCGGTTCGACATTTGAATGCGAATTTCCATCACCATTGTTGCCGTTTTTTGAAGCGGTATCCCTAATAAAGAGAGATTTAATGATATTCAGTTCTTCAACCTTGAATCTCACCGTCAAAGAGCTCTTCTCCGTCCGAATTTGACTCTCATCTTTTTCATTCTCAGCTTTAATTTGTTTTTGACTCGGCCTTGGTTTCGCTGGATTTGATCCTTCGGGCTGTGATTTCTCGGCTTTCTGTTCGGGATTTGTGGCCTTCGCCTTCTTCAATTTCAACATTAGGACTCTGAATTTAGTTGCCGTTTTGACCAGAGACGCCTGGAATTTCGAATTGGTTTCCGAATCGTTCACCGGAAAAAGGTCACCGCCTTTACAGAAAAGGTCATCTGAGGGAGAAAGGTATCCGTACGGATCCGTACGGTCAACACTCGAGCCGGAGGACGTAGAGAAAGTCAAATTTAGCTCGCCTTCTTCATTCTCATTGTACGACGACTCGTCGGACTCGCTCCCGTTGACTTCTTCAGCTGCATGTTGTTCATTACGCTTAACCTGCTCGGAATGTTCGCCGTCATCATTTCCACGACCACTGATTCGTCCATGTTCGTCTTCCGGAGCGGAAGTGAATTCCAAGTCGATGAAGGGACCGTCTGAGTCAGAGTCCGAATCGGGGTCGGATAAAAGAGGAGTCACGGCGGTGAGGATGGTAGTGGTGCCGGTGGGAGGAGCAGTGGCGCAGCCGTCTCGGGTGAGGATTCTGCTAATTCCACCGACAGTACCGCCATTGCGCCAGAACTTGAGTAAGCTGAAACCGTCCATGGTTGGAAGAGCCAGTATACTACAGAGTGCAGGATGGAAGAGATTTTAAGGGTGAGAGATGGAGAGGCTCTGACTTGTGTAATGAACACTCCTCCGTCCGTAAAGGTGGCAGAACTTGAATAGGACTGTAGGGTAAACCGTGCAAGCTGGTAGCTTATCTTTTTTTTTTTTTTTTATCTTTTTACTCTTTTGTGTGGTAAAACAAGGATGTTATAACTTTTAATTGGATACAACTTTTAATTTAATCTCTTTAAATCAGTGGTAAATATGTTATTGTTCTATTTGATTTGATTTGGTTTAATTTAATCTCTTTAAGTGTGATCTTGTTTGTTATGTTCTGGATTGACCAGGAGCTGAAACGAGTCCAAGTAATTACTTCCTTAGGGAGTGTTTGTAAGGGTTTTAGGAACTCTTTTGTGTGGGAAAAGATAAAATGAGTGCTTGTTTTAAGTAATTTCAAGTGAAAAACTCATTGATCGGGCTCCATTTTGGGGTAATATCTTGGGCCTCTGAATAGTATTAGGCCGGGATAATGTACATCAACAAAGAGATTTGTTACTTTTGAGGATACAATGTTGGGACCAATAATTCCACAGTGAGGGCTTAGACAAGGGGACCCGTTATCTCCATATCTTTTCATTCTTGTGGCGGAAGGTTTGAGTAGTATGATTCGAGTGAAGCAAGCACACGGGGAAGTGTTGGGGGTGGCAATAGCATCAGGCATGCCTAAAGTGACTCATCTTTTCTTTGCTGATGATAGTTACTTGTTTTTTAAAGCTTCTGAGAAGGATTGACAAGTGGTGAAAAAGCTTTTGAAGGAGTATGAATTAGTCTCAGGACATGTTATAAATTACAGTAAATTTAGCTTGACTTTTAGTCCAAATGTGAGCGAAGGGATAAGGATGACAGTAAGCTAAGTAACCGGTTGGAGGTGCAACAAGAGGGTAATATACCTAATTATCTTGGACTACCAGCTCTAATTGGGAGAAGGAAAAAAGAGATTTTGGAGTATTTGAGAGAGTGAATAGTAAAAAAGCTTCAAGGGTGGAATAATAGGTTTCTATCAATAGCCTGGAAAGAGAATTTGCTAAAACAGTCATTCAAGTTATGCCAACATACGCAATGAATGTGTTTTTGTTACCGAGGGAGTTGTGTACTAAAATAGAAACGATAATGAATGGATATTGGTGGAGAGGTGCTGAATTTACTAAACGTGGAATTAGATAGAAATCATGGCAGGAGCTTTGATATCCTAAGAAGATGGGGATTTGGGGTTTTCACAGGCATAGGGAGTTTAATGTGTCTATGATGGGGAAACAAGATTGACATTTCATAATGGAAACAGATTCACTTGGAAATCGAATCTTTAAAGCAAGGTACTTCTTTGGGACTGATCTCCGATGAGCTAGTATAAGGTCAAATTCATCGTTTAGTTGGTGTATCGTAATGGAAGCTCAACAAGTTGTGTGTACGGCACTAGAAGAAAAAACGTTTTTTGCATCGACAAAAAATCGACTCAAAAAATCTAATGTCGACGCAAATACTTCATTTAGAAAGATATGCAAAAGCTAATCAAGCCTATGAAGTCTAAAAATATCATGATTTTCTCTATAATGTGTGCTTCTACAGGTCTCTAGCCTGGATCCTTGAAGTGCTTCTACTGGTCTGCTGGTGCAGCTTCATCATCTTAAGGGAGGGTAATGAGATTTTATAAGCCAAATTCTTTACTGCCCAAATTAGTGGTTACTAATTTTAGTTTCTTTGTTGTGTGCACCTAGAGGTCTTCCCCGTGAAAGATTAGAGTGAGTCAATATGCATCATATTGTAAGTTCTATACACCTCAAACACATTATAACATTTTTTTGAGTTTCCTCTCTCTATCTGGCTGTCAATATTTTAATAGTGAATTAATGATATAAAAATAGAAAGCATAACTCTGAAGTTATTGTGATTTATTTTAATTGTTTTTTCCGTTCATATCTATTTTATGTATGTTTAAAAGTTTTGGTGAACCCCAGCTTCCCTTCATTTTAAAAAGTAGTTGTTGTGTGTGGTTTGGTGCTGTATTTTCTAAATGGTTCTTGTAACTTCCCAGGTTATAAGATAATCATATTTTCTAGGATATGCACTTCAGCGGATGTTATGGACCTTAACAGAATGTCAAATTACAGTTCTCCTTGCTATCTATGTTTTGCTTTTCTTTGGACCATATACTAATAGGTTTTTATATGATTGCAGGATTTTGTTACATTTAATGCTTTTAAGTGCTGATACAAGGGATTACAATAAAATAATACTCCCTCCGTCCCAGGGAGAAGTTCCTGGGTTGACTTTCACACATATTTAGGAAATAAAGTTACTGAGGGGAAAATTTTACTGTTTGGCACTGTTTCGACACTGTGTGGCACGGTTTCGACACTGTTTGGCACTGTTTTGCACTGTTTGACACTGTTTTGATGTAGGATAACTTTCCATTTAGGAAAATGGGAACTTTTTGTTGGGACTACCAAAAAAGGAAAGCGGGAACTTCTCCCTGGGACGGAGGGAGTATAAGTAACAATCAACTTAATAATTTTAAATTTACTTTATCCGATAGTTATTTAACTGTGGCGTGTGTAATATATTGTGCTTAGTTTGTAGTGTTTCTTACTATGTAGTATATCTTTGCTAGCAATGTGGAATCCTTTTTCATATTTTTTTCTTTGTTCAGCAAGCTTGAATCCTCTACAGGAATGTATCTACCTATTGGTGACATCAAAAGATCAAGCTAGACATCTATCCGTTCATAACTTTTTGGAGATATAGTGATTGTGTATGTAGAGCAGGTACCTAGCAGATACGATTTTGATATGCTATATTCTTCAATTAATGAAATGAAACTCTTAGATATTTTAGCATTCTTTTTAATATGATTCGGCAGTTGATCTTGTTACTTAGGAAGTCCAAGATGGTATTAGCAGGAGGGGATGTTAGAGTTAAGCAGTAGAGAATGAAGAGAAAGCTAGTAGGGATCTTTTGGAATATCCACAGCACCCTGGTCAAGATGAATTTCAAACAGTCTCAAATGGAGAGAGAGAGAGAGAGAGAGAGAGAGAGAGAGAGAGAGAGAGAGAGTGAGATAAGGGCGGCCTGGCTTGGCGCGAAGGCTGCTAATTTGAGGTCGCAAAACCCTTGGCTTTGGTCGAGCGGTACGGCGGTACCATACTATGTGTATAAGTGCATACTGTGTCACCGATATGGTTGTATTCTTTGATCTATATAGGACAGTTCTTTTTTGTTTACATACATAGTTTTCCAAAGTTTAATAGTTGAGAATGGTTATGGTTTCCAAATTTGTAGCTATTGTATGGCGGTTGAGTGATTAGACTTCAGTTATGTGTTTATTCATTCTGATAAAGTGATGATGCAGTGAAATATTAATTCAAAAGACTTTCTGTATCGGTACACAACTAATATAGAATATCAAATTTTTATGTATAAAATTCTACACTTTCCATAATGGTTGCAAATCAACCGACGTTAAATCTTTTTCATATCGGTCTAGTGACCCGTTATAAAATGAGACGCGCGAGATTCTATAACTGCTGATTCTATATCGATTCGCCAACCGATATAAAAAGTCATTTTAAACCGTTATAAAAAGCAAATTTTCCACTAGTGAGTATTACTGTTTTGGAATTCCAAACCTCATTTACTCCTATTTAGGGTAATTTCCCTAAATTTTATTAATATTCATCTACGATCACACATACAAACCGATATCCACTATTTCGGCCAACCAAAATCCACCGCCATAGAAAGCAACTAGGACAAAGAAACTCATAGATGAACTCCCATTTTTCATTCAAATAACCCTCAGGATATACACAATTATTTTCCTAGCTTTTTTTAATAAAACAAAATTCTTTGAAATGGGGAAAAGTTGCACATTTGTTGCTAATAACAGAAGTCAAACCACAATGACTCCATAATCCATGTCGTCACAGACAGGCTAGGATATGAGATGAATTAGGATCACATAGAAACCCAGTCACACTATCATCTACCCTCCCCACAGGACCACTACTGTTGCATGCTATAGCGGGTTTATACGTTTTCATTGCTTCCAAAGGAACAATGCCAAAATGCTCATCCTTTGGTGTATAAGGAAAAATAGGCATTCAGAGAGAAGTGTATTCCTTTCAGAAGTAGAGCAAGAAGGGACACATTTGATGCATTCAGAAATACCATGTTTTTCGGCCAACAGCTTTCAACTTCTTAAGATAGTCGACATTCTCACTTAATCTTTTATCAAATCCACCTGCAATAGTCAAGGAAGCATCAGACATATTAGCAAATTGATTTCTACCCCCTTCATGATTATTATAGAGCATGGCAAAGGCAAATATCGCCAATTCTATATTCTTTTTCCTTTCAAAAGCAGTGTCTTCACTAGGTTTGTCCAATTGGTCAAGATTTACTACCGGGTACAGCACGGCTGGTCTAATTCCATGCTCATTTAAATGCCTGAATGTATTCGCAAAACTAAAACCCGTAAACTTGTTATTGACTAAGATCAACCATACATGTTCTCATTTCTTCCTCCAAAGCATGGTCCTATGCTAAGCCAGTAACATATTTGGAAAATGGCAGTAGAAAACAGCCTTCATTGGTTTCTTAAGCTTCATAAGTGGAATGATCGGCTATTATGATTGGTCCATAGAAACAACATCGATAGAGCAACAAAAATTCATCTTAAATATGCACAGATCAATTGCATGCAGTTTAAAAAATATATTTCGGGAATGGGGGCATCGACGTTTTGCAAACTAAACTAACCTTCACAACAGAGTAAACATTCATCAGTGAGAGAACATAAAAAAGAGGCCACAAATCCCACGGTTGGGTCAACTTCTCTCTGCAACATAAACCTCAAGTGGACCAATGAAATCTTATCAATATGGACTATTATATGGCAATACTATCGACCCAACCAATGGTGACCTTAATGTAACATGTTAAGGTCTCAACTGTCAAGAACAAAAAAAATAATATTCAAACAATCTTGTAAAAAAGATAATCATCATGTTCTTTAAGAACTAATAATAATACATGGCTCACATTCATGTTCAAAGATGCCATCCTTGGAGCTGCAAGGACTATTTGTTTTTTTTTTTAGAAAAACTTCAGTTTTAAATAATTGACATGTTTGAGAAGCAAAATAAAAGATAGTACACCAACAAAGGCCAAAATATGTATATAGCGCTTTCCAGCAGCAAAAGCTAGGAACTATTTAAACAATAGTTCAATCTAATTTCTTAATTGATATC